TTTAGGTCTTAAATTAGCTAGATGCCATTAATGCTGGATAGTTGCTTCTTACCTCAAGGACCTTATTGAGCTGCAAGAGCTGCTTGAGACGGCGGTGGTCAACTTCACTGTCCTGCCTGAGTAAGTCTAGAAATCTCTCTGTCGATTCCCCCGTGTTCCTGTAAACTGTGATCACTGATCAGTGTAGAATTGAACATCCGTATTCTAACTTCTCTGAGATAAACTATCCCCATGGAGGGAATGGAGTTTTAGGAAGACTGCTACAGCAGGCCTCTGCCGACATCACGACATAATTCAAAAGCTACAGAGTACCCAAGTGAATACGTCACATGCACAATTATGCGCGTGAGAGGCATCAGTGTGAGAACCAGCGCGCAAACCAACTTATGTGCTTACTCCATTCGTCTGCACTACACATCCCAGTTCAAATTGGCGTCCCATTTTAGTGCTTTATGCCGATAATGTCTTATGGACTTTGTCATGTTTCTTATAGTGGCCAGTGTCTGCTCCCCGAGGAAAAAATTGTAGCACAAAATTTCATCACACCTGAATCGTTTTGTATTATAAAATGATTCAGGTGTGATGACATTTATCATTTTTATCTGTAAGTTTAATTTGTGTGGGGAGGAAACAAACACAAGACTGATGTTGTGTCATGCCTTTTGCTTACAGATGCCGACATGAGCTGCGCAACCTGAAGCTGGTCTGGGACACGGTGGAGACCATCCAGGGCCAGCAGGAGGAGTGGAAGCAGGAGTCCTGGCAGAAGATGAACACCAAGTACCTGAGGGAGGTGACCAACGACCAGCTGGAGAGGGTCAGGGGATTGCCCGAGGAGGCCCACTACTGGGACGTCTACCTGGGGCTGGAGGACAGCATCTTGGTCATACAGGTAGGTTAGGTGGATAGAGGGTTTGGTTGATGGTAGAGGAAAGAGGGATGAGGCTGATGGGTGCAAAAGGTAGTCGCCCAAGGACCTGGAGAAGTTCAGGGATTTGCCTGAGGAGGCCCACTACTGGGACGTCTACCTGGGGCTGGAGGACAGCATCTTGATCATACAGGTAGGTTAGGTGGATAGAGGGTTTGGCAGATGGTAGAGGAAAGAGGGATGAGGCTGATGGGTGCAAAAGGTAGTCACCCAAGGACTTAGAGAAGGTCAGGCATTTGCCTGAGGAGGCCCACTACTGGGACGTCTACCTGGGGCTGGAGGAAAGCATCTTGATCATACAGGTAGGTTAGGTGGATAGAGGGTTTGGTTGATGGTAGAGGAAAGAGGGATGAGGCTGATGGGTGCAAAAGGTAGTCACCCAAGGACCTGGAGAAGGTCAGGGATTTGCCTGAGGAGGCCCACTACTGGGACGTCTACCTGGGGCTGGAGGACAGCATCTTGATCATACAGGTGGGTTAGGTGGATAGAGGGTTTGGTTGATGGTAGAGGAAAGAGGGATGAGGCTGATGGGTGCAAAAGGTAGTCACCCAAGGACTTAGAGAAGGTCAGGCATTTGCCTGAGGAGGCCCACTACTGGGACGTCTACCTGGGGCTGGAGGAAAGCATCCTGATCATTGTACAGGTAGCGTGGATGGGTGGAGGATTAAGGGGATGATTTTAGGAAGAGGGATAAGGAGGAAGTAGGCAAAAAGAAGATGCTTGGAGAACTTGAGGGGCTTGCCAGAGGAGGCCCACACACCAATGAGGCATCTCCCTGGCGCTAGGAGACAGCATCTCGATCATACAGGTATTAAGATTGTTGGAAGACAGGGTTAATGAACAGATACGAGCAGCTTGTGAACCAACCTGATGGAGGGCACATACAACCATTTGGAGAAACTTGAAGCATTAGGTAAGGAGGCCCACTAAACTGGAGTTCTTATGGTAAGCTGCAGGAATGCATCTTTAGAGTGGCTTTCCTTGAGACCAACAGCTAAGTTGTAAACCTGGTAGCCGATGGTAAAATTATGTAGCAGTACTCTTAGGATTAGTGCTATGTGGATGAGATAGGCAAAGACTTGGACATATGGGGGCTTTTCACAGAGGATGCCTACATCTCAGTTAGTTTTTATCAGATTGAGATTTTGTTTTGGGTGTATTTTTAGGCTTGCTTGCCGCTCATCGAAGACCTGAGCAACCCGGCCATGCGGACCAGGCACTGGAAGCAGCTGGTGCGCGTGACCGGGGGCGCCCTGCTGATCGACAACGAGAACCTGAAGAGGATGACCTTGGGTCAGCTCCTGCAGCTGGGCCTTCAGAGTGAGTCAGGTGTTTAGGGAGAATTGTAGCATTCACCAATTAAGTGCTGTCTTTCAAATTTGAAAATAGTGGCGAATGGACAGAACCTTGTGGCTTGGTTTCACGTTGAGCTGACATTTTGCTGGAATTTCACTGTCGGTTTTTTTGTTCTTGTTTCATTTTTTTTTGGGTTTTTTTTGAACAACAAATCTTCGGGACTTGTTCTTAATAGCCTGTACAAGGTATCAACTTCAAACTTGGCTTGAGCATTGGTCCTGATCCCAATATGCATGTTTCTGACATCATGATGATGTCATCAGGCATTTAATTGAATCAAGGAAATTTTATCTTCAAAGACTGACCAGGTACATCGACTTTCATCTATTTCTTCTCCATAAATACCTTAGACAGTTTCCATATTCAAATACGCGCAACGGTGACCGTGTATTAACGTTTGATAATGCCCACTGCGATTTGATAATGCCCGCTGCGTAAAGGCGTGCTGGCATCTGGATACGAGACAGTTTAAGCCATTCTTATTGGTCAAGAGTCTGTGTGTGTCGCGGCACGCAGAACTCGCCGTGTGCGCCAAGTCCATATAAGGAGATTCTTTTGGACTACTTGCACAAGGAATATACATGTACCATCAAATGGACGGGTTTATTCGGGGAAATGAAAGTAAAATCCTTTGAAATTTATCGTATATTGACTTCTTTTGACTCTCTGACTAAAACGGTGTTTGTGAATGGAAATAGATATATGCTTGGTCAGGAGAACGAACGCTGATAATGCCCTAGCTTGCGGCTCGGGCATTAGTTGCGTTCATTCTCCTGAGCTGGTCTTAAAACATACGCTTTAGACCCGCTAAGCACGAAGTTATACAGGTACTGTATGATGAACTATTTGGGGATCGGACAAACTTTGAAACGTTTAGGAACTCACAACATGTCCTGTCTACTAATAGCTTGTTTTTGTTATATTCCTGTTGGTTTACATATCTACAGTCATTACCTCTAATTTATTTAATCAATCAAATCAAACTCAAATCACGAAAGAAAAGGAAAAAAATAAGTGAACCTCCGGTCTTATTTCTTCTCACTTACACTGTATCACTGTGCTGTTCTTTTGTCTGTATTCTCCTTGTCAGACCATGTTGATGAGGTCCGGGCCATCGTTCAGCGTGCCGTGAAAGACGTCACCATCGAGAGTGCCCTGAAGACATACGAGGAGATCTGGCTGAGTAAGATCTTTGAGCTGAGACCCCACGTCAGGGTCATCAGCGGAGCGGGCAGCGACAAACCTGACAAAGAGGTGAGGCATATCGCCCACGAGAGACGTTCTGCGGCCGCAAGTGATTCTCTGTGCAGAGCTGTTCCCTGTCCTTTGCTGACTGCAAATACGGCAAATCCTCCTGGTGATCGTGGATGTACACATGACCTTGGACGCCTGTGTTATTTGTGACCCGATTGGCAGTATACAAACAGAATTGTGCTAGACACAAAAAAGTTTTCCCTAGGTGATCAGGGTACCAGGCAAAACGTCATTTGCTGTGCATTGTTTTTGACTGGTTCCCAGCTAATTTACATGGTATATAAATTTGCAAGGCAGTCATTTCTGGTTTGAAGGAGCTCTTCTTCTATCTCAGCCACAACTGACGTTCTTTCGGTATCAAGACCGATTTCCATATTTTGATTTTTCTTCCCCCAAGGAGACGGACACTAAGAGCGAGTACTCCCAGAGCGACGCTGGCACCGTCAAGGGACTGATGCCGTCCGGCGGCCGCCGAGCTCAGAGTCGGATGTCCTCCTTCACCATCGGTACGGGAGGCCGGACCAAAAGGGCTAGCGTCTCCTCTCTCCCGGCATCCCTGCTCAACCTGGGAGAGGTAAGCCAAAAACAGAAAGGAGAGCAACTTTGAAATTCCTCAACCAGGTACAATCAAGATATCTGGTCGGGTTCCCCTGTATTCTGGTCAAGAACTTAGAGGTAATTCCTACATGTTCTGTCATGTTCAGTCAATTTTTAGGAGGTCAGGTTCTTGCACAAGTCTTTGTTTTTTACTGATATTTGTTTTTTAGATAATTTGATGTCGTTTTGATGTTGCTCTTTCTTGCTATTAATCCAAGAGACAGATGCATGTTGGAAATCTAAAGTTTGACAGTGACATTAGGAAAGCGTGGACACAAATATACCTTGTGGTTTTGACCTCTCAGAAGGGTTTTGTGACATTAGGAAAGCGTGGACACAAATATACCTTGTGGTTTTGACCTCTCAGAAGGGTTTTAAAATGCTTGTACTGGACTGTATCTATATGTGGACAGGCTGAGGAATTTCCACACAACGACTGAAATTTACTTGAACTTTTCCATTTCCATTTCCATTCTTCCGCAAGGACACCGAAGCGCTTTTTGAACTCATTGTAAGTACGACAGCGGCCGTTTCACTGGCCTCTCATCCTTCCGCATGTCCTTTCTTTGCTTGCCACAAGAAACCTCTGAGCATGTGCCGCCAGTTCACCTGCTTTCCTTTTCCGCTGCATGCACCTCCCCAGCTAAATACAGCTCTTTTTATCGATTGCAAAATCTTTGCAAAATTTGCAGTGCATCTTTCTACTATTTTTTGGTCAATTTTTGCAAGTGCACCCTGGTAGTATTTCTGTCCACTTTTGCAAAGTAAGAGTGAGAGAAACATCGTACGGAAAGTGCAAACCTCACAAGTGAAGTGACATTTTGGCTTTCAAGGAAGCACTGACCCATTGACTGTACAGTGCATGCCTACATGATGAATTATACTTGATTTTAGTGTTATTATTTTTATTAAATTTCTGGTAATGACACCAAGGATTCCTCAAAAGCACTCTAGGCATTGTAAGCTCGCTATCCTGCAGAAACCTGTAGAGAGGTAGACAGTGAAAAGTAGTTATAGTCATAGAGGTTGGAGGAAAACCCCAGAAAAATATTCTGAGTGAAACCCACAAAATCAGGTAGAGACTGAAGACCCGATCTGCATGTGGGCCGAGCTGGGAATCGAACCCGGGTCTTATAGGTGCAAGGCAAAAAAGGAACCACTACGCCAACCTGACTCCAATTACAATCTAGTGAAGAGAGTCAAAATTTCATATGAAACCGGGAAAGTGATTAGAACCAGTTGGTACCTTTGTCATCCGTCAAAAACCACCGACGTGACAGGCACTCAACTAAGAATGGATACAGTGTCGGAGGTACATGTATTTATGAATGTGAAATGATACTGGATTAATAATCTGAAGCTGGGGGGTTGATAGATTTGGAGAGCGTTGATCAGTTGCAACAAATTATCAGTGAATCTCTTCACACTTGTTGAAGGCACAGAAAGTGCAGTACATCTGTTATTTTAAGTCAGATGAGGGGATTTTTTAAAGAACTGGAAAATGTATTAAAGAATTAAACACCTGACCTACATTTTACCTTCAAGAATTGGACCTGAAAACACTTCTCAGCTTTCAGTTTGAGCTCTGCTTCGCCGACTTGGCCTGCCCAACTCCTTTGTTCAACTTGCTATCACATTCTGTCTCTATTTTCCTGATCACCAAAGTAAGGGAAAGATAGGGGAAAGCATTTCAGCAAATCCCCCAAAAAGCGTGGCTGTTGGAGATGGCGCACGCTGCCTGTGAGTATGCTTAATTGCACACTCACGCCAAAATCTCAAGGCCGAGTGTTTTACAAGGTCTGAAAATCCACCAATCAGGGATGAGATTTCTCAGCTTTTTAGCTGATTTCAGGCTTTTTTGTTTTGGATTTCAGCTTTTTTTTCCTCACTGGCTGTTTACAAAAGTATAGGAGATTTTCACAGTTCAGCTTCTTTGTGCCTTTTTTCAGTTGTTTTTAGCTATTTTTATCATTGGTCAATCTCACCCCTGACCAGTGCTGACGTTGTCGGTGTTTGAGCCACCCATGGTACATGTACCGGTAGATCATTATGCTGTGTACTCTACACTGTATTGCATGATGCTGTGATAGACACACCCTCCAGCATGTCCAGTGACACACAGTCAGTGTAATTGTAGTCGAGACCATCACAAGACCAGTCTCAAGACCAGTCACAAGAAAGTCACAAGACCAGTCTCAAGACCAGTCAAAAGACCAGTCACAAGACCAGTCACAAGACCAGTCTCAAGACCAGTCACAAGACCAGTTTCAAGACCAGTCAAAAGACCAGTCACAAGACAGGTCACAAGACCAGTCACAAGACCAGTCACAAGACCAGTCACAAGACCAGTCTCAAGACCAGTCACAAGTAACAAGGTGAAAATGACAAAGGAATGCTTTTGTTGCAGTTCATTTGAATAGCTTGTGGCTTGAAATCAGACTGGAGGTCTTGTGTTGGTCTCGTATGATCAAAGTGCTCTCGACTCTCGACTACAACATTGCACACAATGTCAACAATCAAGTAAAGGTGCCTTTCCATATGCACGTCAACACTTGCGCCAAGTGTTACGCATCTGTCAAAATCACTCTTGGGACGATTTCGACAGCCGAACGCAATGCACACATGTATTGTGCCTTACAATGGGGTCGATTTTTGTGTCCGTGAAAGTGAAATGTGTGAACACATCGCGTACTCAACGCACCATAAAACTGTACATATGGAAAGGCGTCTTAAGCCCACACTCTGTGAGGAAACAAAAGTCTGCATGTAGCACTGATGTTCCTTTGGCGAGAGCACCCCATGTGTGCGCTCACATGCTCGTTCCCGCTAGGCACAGGCACTTTAGTCA